GTTGTGCCAGAATTATTGGGAACTTCTGTAATCTAGGCGGTGTGTGAGCCCACCCATCTAGGACACTCCACTCTGGAACAACTACTAGGAAAGTATTTCTATATAAGCCATCTACCAAGTCTGGCAAAAACAATAAGTCAAAGATGTGTCACCTGTGGCCAATTTGATGCCAAATAAGGTCCCAGTTGCCATCAGATATTCAAAGTGTAGGAACTACATCCCTTGAAAACATTCACACAGACTTGACTGAAATGCCTCCAGACAGCAGAAATAAATATCTGCTGGTAGCTGTATGTACTTACTGAGGGTGGGTCGAAGTTTTCCTACTTGAAGTGAAAAAGCCAAAGAAGTCACTCGTTTTCTACTTAGAGAAATCATCCCTAGCCTCTTTACATAGATAGGCTCTAACAAAGGACCTGTTTTTGTGGCTGACATCGTTCAACAAACTGCTACCATGTTGGGAATTGACTGAAAACTACATGCCACCTACAGGCCACAAAATTCTGGGAAAGCTGAAAGAATGAATAGAACATTAAAGGCTAGTACAGGGAAAATATGCCAAGAGTCTAAACTTCAATGGATCCAGGCTCTACCATTAGCATTGTTTAAAATTAGATGTACTCATACTAAAAGAACAGGGTACTCACCCAATATGAAATACTATATCACAGGCCTCCTCCCATTTTAAGAAATTTACCAAGAATCTAAGAGAACTGGGAGAAACAGAACTTACTAACCAACTAATGTCACTGAGAAAAATAACAAAGAAGATTTCTGAATGGGTGAATGATAGATGTCCTGTCAGTTTATCTCCCCGAGTCCATCCCTATTTTCCAGATAACCAGGTGTGGATTAAAGATTAGAGCCTAAGCTCACTGAAGCCACAGTGGAAAGGCCCCTAGTTAGTGATCCTGTCTACACTTAAAGCAGTGAAGGTAGATGGCATTCCTGCCTGGATACATCACTCATGTGTGAAACCAGCCAGTGCCCAGGAGTGGATGGTCCAATGACACCCAGAGCATCCCCATCACCTTACCCTGAGAAAACAGACTACAGCCCTGCCCCAGGCACATACAGGGAGCTGATTTGTCCATGCATGGCAGAAGCGTGAGGATGGGTCATGGAGATATAGAATCTCAATATACATCTTAAATCAGATTATCTGATTACAAACAGTATTAGAAACAGTAATGAAAGGAACCAGTAAGTAGGGAAGAGAGAATGAGATGCGTAGAAAGACATGGGTATGAAGATGAAATTTTGGCAAGGATGATAAAAGAAAAGAGAATAATTTCTTCTATATAGGAAGAAATCTTGTGTGAAAACTTTTTGTCTTAGAGTAACTGGTGGTTTTAAAAAAGGAGATTTAAGACAAAAGTGAGGGATTTAAAAATGTTGAAAGACTGTGCATGTAAGTCATGAAAGTTTGTGAAGAACAATTTAGGAAGAATTTTGTATGTGATTAAGTTATAATGAAAAGAAAATCTCTAGTTAAAATGACAAAGCTGTCCTCAGTTTATAAGACTTATGTTTATTTTATTATTAAATCATAACAGTGTACATTAATACTATCATGGGGGTACAGTGTACTGTTTCTGTATACAATTTGAAGTACTTTCATCCAACTAGTTAACATAGCCTTCATGTCTTTTTCTTAGTTATTGTGTTAAGACATTTATATTCTACATTTAGAGAGATTCACATGTACCCTTATAGGATGAACCATAGACATGATCCTGCCAATCACCTTCCCTCCCCCCACCCTCCCCCCTCTCCACCTCTCCCTCTCCCCTCTCCCCATGTTCCTGGGCAAAAATTGGGTTATAGCTTTCCTGTGAAAGCTATAAATTAGTTTCATAGTAGGGCTGAGTACATTGGATACTTTTTCTTCCATTCTTGGGATACTTTGCTAAGAAGAATATTTTTTCATCTCCATCCATGTAAACATGAAGGAGGTAAAGTCTCCATCTTTCTTAATGGCTCATGGTATTCCATGGTGTACATATACCACAATTTATTAATCCATTCATGGATCGATGGGCTCTTGGTTTTCTTCCATGACCTAGCAATTATGAATTGGGCTGCAATGAACATTCTGATACAGATATCTTTATTGTAGTGTGATTTTTGGTCTTCTGGATATATACCTAATAGAGCAATTATAGGATCTAATGGCAGATCTATTTTTAGTTCTTTAAGTGTTCTCCAGATATCTTTCCAAAGGGAACGTATTAGTTTGCAATCCCACCAGCAGTGTAGAAGTGTTCCCTTTTCTCCACATCCACGCCAGCATCTGTGATTTTGTGATTTTGTGATATGGGCTAATCTTACTGGAGTTAGATGACATCTCAAAGTCGTTTTGATTTTCATTTCTCTGGAGATTAAGGATGGTGAGCATTTTTTCATATGTTTGTAGGCCATGTGCCTGTCTTCTTCAGAGAAATTTCTCTTCAAGTCCCTTGCCCACCCTGAGAGGGGATGACTTGTTCTCTTCTGGCTAATATGTTTGAGTTCTCTGTGGATTCTGGTTATTAAATCTTTGTCGGAGACATAACCAGCAAATATCTTCTCCCATTCTGAGGGCTGTCTACTTGCTTTACTTACTGTGCTCTTGGCTGTGCAGAAGCTTTTTAATTTAATCTGGTCCCAGTAGTGTGTTTTTGATGTTGCTTCAATTGCCCAGGGGGTCCTCTTCATAAAATTTTCACCCAGGCCGATTTCTTCAAGAGTTTTCCCTACACTTTCTCCTAGTATTTTTGTAGTTTCATTTCTTAAGTTTAAATCTTTAATCTAGTGAGAGTCAATCTTAGTTAGTGGTGACAGGTGTGGGTCCAGTTTCAATCTTCTGCAGGTTGCCAGCCAGTTTGTCCAGCACCATTTGTTAAATAGGGAGTCTTTTCCCCACTCAATGTTTTTAATTAGCTTGTCAAAGAACATATAATGGTAAGTAGCTCGGTTTATCTCTTGGTTCTCTATTCTGTTCCATACATCTACCTCTCTGTTTTTGTGCCAATACCATGCTGTTTTGATCACTATGGATTTATAGTATAGTCTGATGTCTGGTAGTGTGATTCCTCCTGCCTTGTTTTATTCCTTGTTTTTATATTTGTCTTGGCTATTCAAGGCTTTTATATTTGTCTTACATTTGTCTTGGCTATTCAAGGTTTTTCCTGATTGCATATAAAATGAAGTATTATTTTTTCAAGATCTTTAAAGTATGACAATGGAACTTTAATAGGGATTGCATTAAAATTATATATTGCTTTGGGTAGTATGAACATTTTAACAATGTTGATTCTTCCCAGCCATGAGCATGGTATGTTTTTCTATTTGTTAACATCTTCAGCTATTTCTTTCCTTAGAGTTTCATAGTTCTCTTTATAGAGATCTTTCACATCCTTTGTTAGGTAAACTCCCAGATATTTCATCTTCTTTGGCACTACTATGAACAGAATAGAGTTCTTGACTATTTTTTCAGCTTGACTATTGTTGGTGTATATAAAGGCTACTGATTTATGAGTGTTGATTTCCTCTATATGGTTGGTGTAAGTGTCTGTTTTAATTTGCAGTTTTCCTGTAACAATTGTGCTTATGAGTCAATCATTGGCAGCAGTGTGATTTGTTCTATGCACATGTGGGTTCATGCCTTCTTCTGAGTACAGGTGCCTGCCCTTCTTCCACCTGCTGTGTCACTGGAGCTTAGTGTCCAGGCAGTCTGACTGCTCTGGGCTGTGGTTCTGCGATGGCTCCTGCAGGGCTGCCCAGCCTGCTCCCCCTGTGTGCGTGTCTGTTGCTCACACCTGGCCTGGCCGAGGCAGGCAAGCTGCTGGTGGTGCCCATGGATGGGAGCCACTGGTTCACCATGCGGTCGGTTGTGGAGAGACTCATCCAGAAAGGACATGAGGTGGTTGTGGTCATGCCAGATGTGAGTTGGCAACTGGGACAATCTTTGAATTGTACAGTGAAGACTAAGCTCCAGTGACACAGAAGGAGGAAGAAGGGCAGACACAAAACCTGTGCTCAGAAGAGGGCGTGAACCTACATGTTAATAGAACAAATCACACTGCTGTTGTCTCATTGCTTTCCTTTAGTGATTTTCTATTTCCAGTTCTCTGATTTCTGCTCTGACGTGAACCCTCAGGAAAGGTAGATCACATACTGCCATTTTCATTTGTCCCTGACCATCCTATGAGAGTGCCCTAAGCTGTAAAGTGAATGGAGACTAAGCAAATGTCTAGTGACAATCAGGGTGACTTGTAGTGGGCATTTTGTTCTAGCAAGGATGATGCTCCTAGATTGTCTGCAGAACCTCTAACTGAGTGCTCCTCTGTATTCCCAACTCACATCAGTGGGCTCACCCAGGAAGGTACCTAGGATTCCTGCACAGTCCAATTCAATCCAAAGCAGCGCACGTTTCTGTGCAAGGCACAGCATAGGAGCTGTGGAAGGAGGGGGGAAACATGAAGAAGACCATCCCTGACCTCAAGGAGTGCTCATCAGAATGGGGGAGACCAGTGCATACTATCCTGAAGGAAGGCACCCTAGGACATGGGGTGAGCCTGCACCAGAGGCCCGTCCACACGTCTGGCTAGAAAGTGGAAGTGTGGAGGGCAGACAGAGGCATTTCAGCTAAGTGCTGGTGCTGCTCTGGGCAGGTGACTACCTCCTGCATTCAGTGTATCTGCCAGATACTCTCCATCAAATCCTGGGCTAGTCCATGTAGGAGGGGTCGTCCCTTTTTTCCATATTTCAGAGGCTTCACAGGTGTGTAAAATAGAAAGACAAGCAGCAGTGTCCACACAGTGCAGAAATACATGTGGACAATTTCTGGTCAGTCAGGAGTCACTGCAAAAAGGGCCTTGCTGTCTTTCCTTGGAACAGGAAATGTGAATTTGTTTGGGGGCAGAGAGTGTTTTGTAGTCTGTGGATGATATCCACATTTTGCTTTAAGTGAAATTTCAAACATAGAAACTTTAATCTTGTGTTTATTAATTCTCCTTTTTTGTTTTTTGTATTTATTATCTCTCCAGCTTCTCTCTCTCTGTTGTTAGAGTCCAATGCATCGATTAATAATTAGTTTCTAAAGTCACATTGCAGTATTAAGCAGGATAAATTTGTAAGGCAAAGATAATAAGATAGTCTTATCCGGAGAGCATAGAGTGGGTGTCTCAGCAGCTGCCCACTTTTTATTGTGCTTATGAGTCAATCATTGGCAGCAGTGTGATTTGTTCTATGAATATGTGTATTAACGCCCTCTTCTGAGCACAGGTTTTGTGCCTGCCCTTCTTCCTCCTGCTGTGTCACTGGAGCTTAGCCTTCAGGCAGTCCGACTGCTCTGGGCTGTGGTTCTGCAATGGCTCCTGCAGGGCTGCCCAGCCTGCTCCCCCTATGTGCATGTCTGTTGCTCACACCTGGCCTGGCCGAGGCAGGCAAGCTGCTGGTGGTGCCCATGGATGGGAGCCACTGGTTCACCATGCGGTCGGTTGTGGAGAGACTCATCCAGAAAGGACATGAGGTGGTTGTGGTCATGCCAGATATGAGTTGGCAGCTGGGACAATCTTTGAATTGCACAGTGAAGACTTTTAAAACTTCTTACTCCCTGGAGGATTTGGACCGTGAGTTCTTGGTTTTTGTCAATGATCAATGGAACAGTCAAGAGCAAAGTTTCTTTAATGCATTGAGTATCTCAACCAGTGCTTTTCTTGAGTTACTTTTTTCACACTGCAGGAGTTTGTTTAATGACCGAAAATTAGTAGAATACTTAAGAGAAAGCTCTTTTGATGCTGTATTTCTGGATCCTTTTGATATGTGTGGCTTAATAGTTGCCAAGTACTTTTCACTCCCCTCTGTGATCTTCAGCAGGGGGATATTTTGCCATTATCTTGAAGACGGTGCTCAAGTCCCTGTTCCTCTTTCTTATATTCCCAGAATTTTCTCAGGGTTATCCGACGCCATGATTTTCAAGGAGAGAGTATGGAACCATATGCTTTACTTGAGGGACTGTTTATTTTGCCCCCCTTTAAGGAAAACGGCCTTAGAAATTGCCTCTGAAATCCTGCAGACACCTGTTACAGCATATGATCTGTACAGCCACACATCAGTCTGGTTGCTGCGAACTGACTTTGTTTTGGAATCTCCCAGACCCCTGATGCCCAACATGATCTTCATTGGGGGCATCAACTGCTACCAGGGAAAGCCACTGCCTGAGGTGAGTTGTCTCTCCTTTAGCAGAATAGGCTTACCTGGCTTTGGACTTGAAGTAAAAAGTAAAAGATTCCTTACTTAGCTGTGATTTGTCATTTCTATTTGTTGAATTTGGATTTTCCTTCTAGTTTAATGACTTATGTTTTCAATTCAATTATTTGTTGTTTACCAAATTTTATAATGGTGCCCTTCTTGACCTATATATATAACTGTACATAAATTGCAGGTGTATTATTCAATATTGTTTTTCAAACAAAAATGAAATGAACCTTTGTGTTTTGTTAGTGATCTTGTACTACCCCCTTCAGGAAAATACTCTTAGTAGTTTTGTAGGTACTTTAGCTTTTAGCATCTTTTAATTTTAAAATTTTTTGAAATAATTTGCTATAAAATCATAAAGCTGTATAAATTATGTTTATTTTATTAAACTAAGTGTCAGGCTCTAATATGTCATGTTTCACCTTGTATTTCTTATGTACCAATAAATCACAGACTTCCTTATAGGCCTATTCATCTAAAGTTGACACTTTCTTTCTTTCTTTTTTTAAGTTAAATCATAGCTGTGTACATTAATGCAGTTATGGGGTACAGTGTGCTGGTTTTATATACAATTTGAAATATTTTCACCAAACTGGTTGATACTTTCTTTTGAAAATGCAGAGAAATCATAGGTTTGGATGGAAAATGTTAATAGCTTTATCAAAAAATCAATATTAATATGGACTTAGGCTTTTTCCACTTTTTGGTTCTGTAACCAAGACTCCAAAATCATGCTTAAATACTTTCTTCACATTCATATATTTTCATATTCTAGCATTTATTTTGTTAGGGTACCGTCTTTCAGTCGGTTTGCTGGGTTCTCCTTCATTGAGAAAAACTGGCATCTTTTTGCTGTTAAGTCTTCTTGTTTTGGAAGAGATATTTCTCATTATTTCTTGCTTTAAATTTTGTTCTTTACATAAGTTTTTTTAATTAAAATTTATTTTTAGGAAGTATATTTTATTTGATACTACTGTGCATGCAGCAGTTTTTCCATTTCTATTTTGAACTGACTATGGGCAATGAAAGTACAGCTTTGGTTTTTGCACATTCATCTTCAATCTACTAATTTTTCTTAATAATGTGTATGATTTATTAGATCCCATCTTTACCATCTGTAAATAATTCCCTCCCATGATGTTCATGCACTTACTGTGTTCTATTACAGTATATACTCCCAAAACACTATTGAGTCATATTGCTGGTCCTGCCAGTCGAAGTCGGGAGTCTGTCACTTGCACTTGAAAAACCCTTGACAAATGAAGGTATAAGATTCTTTGGTGCATAATGCAAGAGTACATATCGGATCTATTAAGTATAGGGTATACATGTCTTAACACAATAATTAAGTAAATGAGACGAGGCATATATTAACCAGTGTGATGTAAATGCTCCTAATTCTATATGAAATGAGCACATTATACCCCATAAATGTATACATGATCTATGTGTTTATGATTTAATAAAAAAAGTTCATTTCTGACCATTTTTGTTTCATTAAAAAAAATAAGATTCTTGGTAAATGTATAGTTGCTACATCCAGACAAAACACCTTGTATGTCATCTCAGTATATTATTTATTATGAATGGGCTATGCATTCTGCCTGTTGTTCTGTTTTCTCCCAAGTTTCAGTAGACTGTAATGACAGTCATATTCTTGCACAGATATCTCAGCAGATGTTTAGTGAAACAGTGACTTTTCAGCTAACTCAAGAAGTGAAATAATGTCCTTTCTAAAAAATCAGAAGAGGGTGGCACCTGTGGCTCAAAGGAGTAGGGCACCGGCCCCATATGCTAGAGGTGGTGGGTTCAAACCCATCCCTGCCCTCCCCCCCCAAAATTGCAAAAAATACTGTAAAAAGTCAGAAGAGTAAAATTTTAAAAATGACTACAGTTTCAATTTGCATGCCATTCAAACTTAGGGGTGACTTTCTGCTCTTGGCAGAAACAGGGGAGGAGGGGCATGTTAGTGGATGTTCAGAGGCTGAGCCTGCCAACGAGCTCTTCTTATCTTCACCCTCTGTCCACTATGGGGTTTGGCTGCACCCTGTCCCCTAGCCAAGGGTGGGGCCCTGCCACTTCTTGGGTCATCCAGAGGGGTTTAGAGGCATAGGAGGGTATATATGATTTTATATAACCCATGATATGGACATATCTATAAAATATATTGAACACAATATAGTTTTGTATATTTTGATTATGTACACATTTTTTTTTCTATTGTTTGGGATTCATTGAGGGTAGAAAGAATTAGATTATACTGATTGCATTTGTTAGATAAAGTCCCTCTTATAACTATGCCCTGCCCCCAAGATGTGTGCCATACACTGTCACCCCCTATCCCTCCTCCTTTCTCTCCGTTTGTAGAACAGACTACATTGGATTCTTGTGTCTCCTTTCTTGTGATGCTTTACTAAGAAGAATGTGTTTCACCTCCATCTAGGACTTACAAAAGATGTAAAGTCTTTTGTATTTTTTTTTAGTGGCTGAATAGTAGTCTATGGTATACACATACCACAGCTTATTGATCCATTCCTGGGTTGGTGGGCATTTAGGCTGTTTCCACATGTTGGTGATTGTAAATTGAGCTGCAATAAACAGTCTAGTGCAAATGCTCGGCACCTATAGCTCAACCGGCTAAGGCGCCAGCCACGTACACCTAAGGTGGCGGGTTCGAATCCCCAGCCCGG